TGGTCCCTTTACAAATAAAATGACACAAGCGTGAATATTTTCAATTCTGTTTGGATGGAATTCACAATATAATTTTATTGAAATTCCCTTCAAATATAAGTTTAACATTTTCTCTTGAGCGGTTTGATCTCTGAGATCCATTGCAAATCTTTTTTTTTTTTTTTTTTGTTGTGTGTGTGCAAAGGTTCAAAACCATCTGCATGAAATCTGACCCAAAGTGAGACAGAAAGGGCCTTGTAGGTCTGAAGGCATGTGACAGCGCTTGCTGATCTCAGCAGATGTGTCACGGAGTTCAGGTGGTTAGTTTCAGCACCAGCAGCAGCAGTAGGGTTACCACTCAAAGGGATTTTTTCCCCCCACTGAGAACTAGAAAGAACAACAGAGCTCACATCCCTTGGGTTGGTGTCTCAATCGGATCTGGCCTGTGTCAGAATGTGTAAAAACAGTTCTCTCTCTCCCTCTTTGGCTGGCTCTCAAACACACAGATATCTCCTCTCCTCACTTTCTCTTTTTTACCCCCTCTCTCTCTCTCTCTCTCTCTCTCTCTCTCTCTCTCTCTCTCTCTCTCTCTCTCACATCAGCTCATCTGATAGTGCTCTAACAGTCTCAAATAGTTCCCAGGAGAAGCATCATCTCTGCACACACACACACACATCCTGGTCCTCGCCGATGGGTCGAACCGCTTCCTCGATGATGTATAAGTCACGTAGCCTTCACGACTGAGACGGACATCTGGCATATAAACTGTCAGCCTCTGACACGGGGCTCCTTCCTCAGTCAGACGACCGCCATTTTTTGTTTTAACAGAGAGCACAGAATAGTGTATTCCTGCCAGTGTGAAGGGATTAGCACAAGGCCAGTTGTGGCATTATAGCTAAGTCGGATGGAGAAGCCTAAAATCAACTCGACTGGACAATCTTGTCTGCATTTAGAGGGTACAAGTTTGATCAGAGTAAACTCTCTCTCTAAACCATAAACCAAACCCTGAGTGGTGAAAGTACATATCATGAGTCAGGCGATATACTGTTGGCCGTTGTCATATTGACTGGAAAACTGAAAAAACGGGCAGGAGCTTCCACTCTGCAGAGCCAATCACAGAGCTTTAACATTTAGTTTTATGATTTAAAACGCCGTCAGATAGTTTCATCGCTGCCACACACACCCAGACAGAGACACACAGAGGGACTTAACAGTGTTATGTATGGTTTCATCACTCCGTGTAGGCCATAATCACCCTCTCTCCATCTCAGTAAGCTCATGCTAAATGACCAGACGTCTCTGACGGCTGCCATGATTTGTCTCTCTGCCGTGCATCGTGCCGTACCTTCACCCTACCCGCCTCCCTCCTCCCTCCCTCCCTCCCTCCCCGCTCCCATATGTTGTGCCTGTGTGACCGGCCGACGTGTCAGGCCTGACTAACGCCTTAACGGCAAGCCTGACGTTGATTTATTTCCTCTGAAATCTGGGGGCCGGGGGGTAATAACACAGAATGACATTATTTGTTTATCAAATCCGAGGCTGCTTTTCATGGCAGAGTCGAGATGTGACGACTTGATACCAACTTCCCCCACACACACACACATACCCCCCCCCCCCCCCCCCCCTTCATTTCTGATTGTGCCGTGATTAGAAGGTCTGGCTACTCGCTTAACCTCATGCAAGGGAATGTTTTTGAAATCTGACAGAGCAGAGAGCAGAGAGGGGGAGAAAAAGATTGAGATGAAGCAATGCAATTAAATTGTCAAGGCACAGATTTAACCCCGCCACGCAATTTGGCGCCCAATTTATTAAGAATGTTTTCTGTCTGAACTAACTGGATGCTATTTCTCTATATGCAGAAAGAGAGAAGTAAGGAGCGAGCAGACAGTGAGCATAAACAGTACTTTAAATACCAGATGACCCATTTAATGGGAGATATTTTATCATCCCACATTCAGAGAGTCTGCCACATGTTCTGCCTCTCATTTGAAGATAACAGCGGCGGCTGTTTAGTCTCTTGAAACTTCATCTTATTCAGTGATCAGGTCTATCATTCCGGCTCTTTCACAACACATTGGATTCCTTTTAACATGTAAATGATGCATTGCCCCGAAAAGTTCATTAAAATTTGATCCCTGGCAAATTTGCTCAGGAGCGTGGAATCCTCAAGAAGCAATTAGCGAATTTAATTTGGCTATTTGCCCCGGCGTGCAGAGTTGGGTGTTTGTTTAAAATAGCACCTTCACCTTCCGTTATCAGCCGTGTGAATAGTATCTCCTGGAACACAATGCCTCGCCGTGGAACTCAATAAAAGAGTTACAGGCAAGGACAAGCTGAAAGACAGTGTGCCTGATAACAAAAGGGCCTCACCTAATAATGAACAACCAGAGTTGGCTTTCTTTTCTCTGACTTGGGGAAAGCTGGGGTGAAGGAGGGGCGAGAGAGGCTCTGCCAGCACTTGCCAGCATGTTTTATGGCTAATTGAAGCATTTGGAATAAAACAGTCACAAAATGGCACCCTTTAGAATTGAAGCAGGGTTAATATATTGTGATCCCACAATTAGCCCAGGATTGTTAAGATCTCTTTAATTCGGTGAGGTCCATTAAGCGGGATGGGCGAGAAAGTGCTCCCACAGAGACAATTTCTCTCCTCTCGCTTTGTTCTTCCTGCCCCCTTTTCCTCTCAGCAGCTGCTGTAGTAATCAATATAAGTGGACATGTCCGTCAGCAGGTTGCCAGGTTATCCAGGCATCACCTCCTTTGGGTGCCATAGCTCCTGAAGTCCACCCACACGGAGATGGGTTTTATTTATACATAAACAAGTGAGTCAGTTGTAGTAGAAGAACTTTGGTGCGGACACTCTGCAAAGTGTGGTCATTAAACTGACATTGAAAAAGCTCGCCCTCGTGGACAGGAGCATTAGATCACGCTCTCTCCAGGGTGGAAATGATCACTGTGCTCTGCTCTTTACCCCAGTTTCTAAAATCCCCACTTGGCCCATGAGTGCCTCCACTAGAGCCGCAGGAGCGTCTGCAGCCTGATCGGCACTGCTCAGAGTTTTACAAGTGTCTCTTTCAGAATAAGAGAGTCCCTTCTGGGTTATCTTCGGGGGATACAGTGCGCCTGTGGGAGCTTGCCAATTGGTTGAGGATTTTTTGAAACAGGATTGAAAATCTTTCCCAAACCATGACATAATTAAGCCTGCACAGCCCTTACACTTTTTTTTATTGCAACTGGTGTCACAGAGTGGCATAATCCGCAATTTCTACGGAATCTACAGGGTTACATTTACTCTAAGGAGGTGAATAGAGCTTCCACATGCACAGCATTGCTTGGATAGTGACTGAGGATGGACCCAGACAGATGGCTGACTCATTAAGGACTCATTTGTGATAATCTAAAATGATCCTACTTTCAATTTCTCATGAAAGGATGCATGTTTGGCCTAAGAAAGGGCTCTGGATTAATACCTACCCGCTTAGCGCTCAGGTAATAACTTGGGAAGCTGGAAAACGGTGAACATTTTAGCAGCACAGGGTTCCAGCACAGTGGATTTGAAGCTCCTTGCAAGTAATTAAACAGCATGCCACCTCATACGGAGCAATTTCCTGCAAGGCGTATGCCTGCCAGTGCAGCATGGCCCCAGTCTACGTTGCGTTATCTCTGTGAAATATGTCTCCTTTATCATTTTTTAATAATGACTGAGTGCTCTTGTTGTTAGGAGAAAATCTACTCAATAACCATCAGATTAACATTTCCTCACTGTTAGCTAGCTATCTGGATGTCCAAGATTAGAAATTAAAATTGGAAGGGTAAGGAATTAAACGGCTGCTTTGATGTTGGTAGACAAACCTTTTCAAAAAGGGCCAGCCATGGTGGGTGGGCATATTTCGTGCTTGTTGGAATTTGAGTCTTCTGAGGCGTATTTCTCTGATATCTGAGAGGTTAATGGTGCCATTGGTGTAATGATGGCATCTTGCCTGGGCGAGAATAAGAATCCTGCCATGTGCATTAAGGGATTTGTTCTTGTTGGGCTAGCCACAGAAAATCCTCGGGTGATGACACTGTTTATCTTTCCACTGTCTTAAAGTCCCGTGGGCTTTAATGGCACTGAATTTACACTTCCTGCTGTCATTTTTCCCAGCACACAAATAAGCTGAATTCCGCTCACTCTTGGTATATATATTTATATTCATGTTTTTGTTTTTCTTATCCATATTTATAGTTATTATTCTGAGTAAATCTCCTGTGATGCTAGTTAGCACTCCCGTTTTCCCCAATACCCATCTCTGTAAATTCAGTCTTTTTACATAATCTCTACTATTAAACAGCCACTTGCAAACAACTCCTCTGCAGCATCAAAGACAATCATAGTGGCAAGAAAAAGCTTCATGTCTCATGATATGTTGATGCTAACTTCCCGCCCATTGCAAACATCAGCTGTCAGTATAAATATATCACGTTTATTTAGTTTCGGGGAGTGGTAATTTGCCATATCCGAGGATTGCTCTCAAACATCTTGTGAGCGAGCCAATCATCTCGCAATTCTGTTGGGGAAGAGAGAGTGGAGTCAACTTCTGCTCATTGTTTCCTTTACCCCCCCCCCCCCCCCTCCCCCTAAACTGCTCCATACCACAACACACCCCAACCCGTCCTCACCTTCCCTAGATACTTGCTACTTGTCAGCCTTGGTAATGGGTTTCTTGGGGGAGATATTATTTTGGTCCAGTAAGCTGCATGCTTAAAATATGAGTGACAGCCTTGACTCACTTGCACAGGGAGAGAATTTTGTTTTTTTTTAAAAGGCTGCCAAAATAGAGCCAGCTCTGCGGCTGTGGAGAAATTGAGAAAAAACTTCCCACTCTATTAACAATGAAAGCTTGCATGCAACCACCCACCTACCTTAACTTTGCTGAAAAAAAATGAAAAAAAGACATGCAACTTTTTCTGACTAAAATGTCCTATTTTCCCCATCTCTCTATTTTTCTGTTTCCGACTTCCCCCCTGTTCCCCCTCCTAAGAAGATAGATGAAGAAAATGAGGCCAACTTGCTGGCAGTGCTTACAGAGACACTGGACAGCATCCCGGTGGATGAGGACGGATTGCCTTCGTTTGAGGCCCTGGCAGATGGGGACGTGACCAATGCCAGTGACCGAAGCTGTCCCTCCTCCCCCGACGGCTCGCCGCGCACCCCAGAGCCTGAGGAGCCTTCCCTGGTAAGCTCTCCCCTCTTTAGATTCTCCAATCAACACCACTCCGGGGTCATAATGCTATTCCTGAGACAAGTCCTCCGACCTTTACCACACTGTTGCTTTCCTGCCAGTCCGTTGCTAACACTAGCAAATACTCAGTCACAAAAATGGGCACCATAAGTGACCATTTGTCTCTGAGACTTGTGTATTTGGCATATTCACCACAATTTGTTCACAATATGTCGAGTAAAAGCGTGCAGACATACAGATGCAGAGAGGAGGGGAGGAAATGGAATGGATCAATGCGTTCGCTGCTTAGCGCTAATTACATAACAGTGCTATTGTGGCGCCAATTCAATGATACCAACATTGTGTTGGGGCCAACTGCCGTTGACACAGTGCCACAAGCCCCGAAATCAAGCCGGCACATAATGAAAGTACAGAAAAAAAGAAATCCATCTCATTTTGTCTTCTCTCAGTGGGTCCCAACTAATCCCCCTGTGCCCGATTCTTCGTTTTGGCAAAAAGACAGGCCACTTGATGAGAAGTCAGCTTACCTTTGTGCTGTTATTTTTACACATAACCAAGCCATCTGGGTCTTTCTTTGGCTTAAAGGCTTTGACCTAAAATGTTGTGTTCAGTTATAGTCCATTTTATTCCATGCCGGTCCTTTCCAGATGACCTTTAGCCACATGCCCGAGTGTGTTTATTCAATCACAGTGGAGAAGCCTGGCTTTGTGTACATGAAAACACCTGCGCAGGAGGAAAACCTTGCCCTGTCTCATCGTGTTCAGCTGAAGAAACTCCAAAAATGTTGAAACATTACAGCAATTTTTATCTGTTCTAACTGCCGTGTTTTGTGTCTGGCTCCGCAATTTCAAAGCATAGGAAGTCTAATTGAAAGACAATGGCAATTTGCATAACTCACCCTCTCTTCCCCACATTCTGTTTGGGTCCGTTTGCAGCTGAAGAAGCTCCTTCTGGCACCCGCAAACTCCCAGCTCAGCTATAATCAATACACAGGTGGCAAGGCACAGAACCATGCAGCCAGCAGCAACCACCGGATCAGACCACCACCTGCCGTCGTCAAGGTAGGGACACACACACACACACACACACTCCCACACGCACACACACACACACACACACAAAAAACATGCACTTGCATAGCCTTAATGCTGATCCACTCGTGTACACACATTTTTTGTTAGTGTTTGTTTATATTCCTTCTTGTTTCTGGCTCTTTCTCCCTTCCCTCTCACACTTTTCTTGTTTTGGTGGCCGCCTTTAGAAGATGTTAGACTGCTGCTCTAGTCGACTATCCCAGGGGGCCCTCTCGTAATGAAAACAGGCTGATTGCTGTTGGGCTTTCCAGGCGAGGCTTCGGCACCGTTGTCTCATTAGCTCCACCACTTATCCGCCTTGGTATGGTGCCTGTTGAAAAAAAAGAAAGAAAACAGCGACAGGCACTCTTGCGGCGAGATTGATGCCTTGAGACGACAAGATCAAAATATCAGACTTGATGTTCTCATTAGATGGCTCTCCAAAGGATTTTTCCAAAAGGGGTGGGGTTGATTAGGATTAATGTTAGTCTTGTAAGTATCATAGGTTTATGAATGTGTTTGTATTCATGCCACATTGTGACACACTGTAGGTTCCGTGTCATAAACAGCTTGTAATCTTGATTTTTTTTTTTCCTGCTCCTGTTGTGGTAAAAATGTAAAAGAAAATCTACTTACACAGATGATTAAAGTCATCTGTATGTAAATACAACATCTGTATGTGATCAAATAGTGTGCTACAGACACAGATTTTTGTGTTTAGTACATACAATGTTTGCACATGCAGTGTGTCAACCTTCCTCACACAGTCTATTTTCATACTGTGCCTTTGAGTCATCCGTTTCTGGAGCACAGCGAATGAGGACTCCCGGAGGACATGGTGCACATACAGAGTGGCACGCTGGTGCTCAGAGGGGCCACGCAATTAAGATGATGGGCGGACCGCACTCCCTCCATCGCCTCCCAGACTGCTCAGCAACTGCTGTACTCCTGCTGTCTGACACGCTCTTTTAGCCGCTCTCTGGCTCCCTTTCTTTCAGCCTTTATTTATGCACTTAACATTTCTCAAAACTGGATCAGCTGAACTATACTAACAAAAGTGTCCAGAAACTTTTTACATGCGCAACTAAAGTCTCTCTCCCTCTCTGTATCTCGTTTGCACAGATGGAGAGCCCCTGGAATGGCAAAGCAAAAGGGGGCTCCAGCCAACAGAACCGCCCGGTGAGGCGGCCGTGCACTGAGCTGCTGAAATACCTAACAGCCACAGATGACATCCTGCTCCACACCAAAGCCAGCGACGCCAAGAGCACCTGGGGAGGTGCCGGTAGCAGAGAGAAGAGTAGCCTGGGTCTTGGCGCCTCATCCTCTTCCTCGTCGCCATCCTCGTCCTCTACCTCCTCGTTCTCCTCCCTCTCCTCCACCTCTTCCTCCTCCTCCACCACCTGCAAGAAGAAGTCAGCCGTACCATCTCAACAGCAGCAGCAGCAGCCGCAGCAGCAGCAGCAGCCGCAGCAGCATCACCAGCGAGGTGAGAGCCGGGCTGCAGGCGAGTGTAGTGTTGGGGCTGGGAAGTGGCAGCGTTGCTCTCACGATGACGGGGTGGAGGAGTCAGAGGGTGCTTCTATCCCTGTCAGCCACAGAACCTCCACCTGCGGCCATGCCCGCCCCAAACTGGAGCACGGGCCGCCCAGTGAAGAAGGAAGGCCGCCAGGCGATGCGAGCCGCCTGGCCGCCGCTAGGTTTATTAGGTATATGCATTCTTATTCCCTCCCTCCCCGAGAGGTGAGTCACAGCTGTGAGCATTGCCGAGAGGCTGCGGGCGCCACTCAGGCTAGCGAGGGCTTTGGCAGGCATGGCCGTAGTAATAGTAGTAGTGCCCGCCGTGCACCCCGTAGGCACATCACAGTGACTATTAGAAAAAGGGAAGAGAAGCTGGGCCACCCCTTACTTAGCCAGCTGCTCACCTCCAAACAGAGGCCCGCTCAATATCGAGCCCACTTACCCCCACTTAAGATCCCCCCTTTACCCAGCACCCACAGCAAATCAGCAGGTAAGAGGTCTGAGAGCCCTGTCCATGCTGATTTAAAGGTGGAGGAGGAACAGTTTGGAGGGACCCCTGATTGTAGAAACCAGGCAGTTAGTCAAGTTGAACAGCCTGACTTGGGGTCCCTGTTGTCGCCTCTCGCCTTCGACTTAAAGAGCTGGGTTAGCCAGCCTGGCTCAGAACTAGACATGGGCTTTGGACTAGATCTGGGGTGGCTAAACCATGGGGAGGATCTTGACCATGATGATGATGATGATGTTGATGATGATGATGACCATGTCACGGGCAGCCCCGCAGCGGCGCTCTCACTGAGCCCACCAAGCCCACTCTTCCCAGATACTAGAATTGCAGAGCGCGCCCCTGCCCGCATCACACAAGGGCAAGGGCACCCACACATGCAGGCACTGAGCGAGCACCCCGACGACCAGGGCCACCCGTTGTTAGGTAATCATGACTGCATCCCCCCCCCCACTGGCCTTATCTCTGCTCTCTTTTTCTCCCTCTCCTGCTTTAACCACTTCCCAGTTTGACTTCACAACTAACCCCTATTCTAATCCGAATCTAACAGTCATTCTGAGGGCAAAAACAAACAGCCTGCTAGACAATGCTTTCTCCTAGTCCTGGAGGTGTCTAAAAAACAATCTAAATATAGTGACATTTTGAGAAAAAAAAAGGAGGGGGTGGGAAAGGGGGTGAGCTTTGTCTTGCTATTTTTTACACCTTGTATCTAAAAGTCGACCCTTGAACGATCTTTGGCTGATTGAGCTGAGTGTTGCTGAATTTGTTCTTTTAGACCCTGAGCGCGGGTGCTGCTCTTTTTTAGCGTCGTGCTACTAAAAGCCACGTTTCCACAAGTCGGCCAGAGCCTCGGGCAACTGCACAAGCTTCCTTGACTCTCCTTTCTTCCTTCTTTTTTTTCCCCCTCCTCTGCTGTTGGTGCATGCGATTGTGACTTTTACTGTCCAGGAAGGCGCTCAACCACTGTCATGTGTCTTGTTTGTGGCATCGTCTCTTTGTGTATTTATTCCATCTCAATCTATTTGGTTGTCTTGAGCGGGGTGTGTTTGTCTAGACACTTGTGAAACACACACCATCACTCCATCCTGCCTCACAGAGTTAACAGTCTATCCATAGACAGTATATTGTTAAAACAGGGTCAAACTAAAATATGCTTTTTGCAATAGTGTCAATAGAAAGACTTAGTGATGGGCGTTTTTTGTAGTAATAATTGCATTCAATGAGCCAATTTGAGGTTAATTGTTGCAGAATGTGGGCCTGTTCTCTTCTGCCATGAGTGTTATACCTAGATCAATAATTACCCATGCTCCTTTGTGTTCTGCAGCCAAACCAACCACCTTGCCACTTCCTTTGACCCCAGAGTCTCCAAAGTAAGTGTGAGAAGTTTTTCCACATTATTCCAGGCAGACAGCAGCAACAAAACTACAGAACAAAAAAAAAAAACAGACACAAGTTAGAGAGAACTATATAGATTTAGAATCCAAGTTGAGGCATTTTTTTTGTGACTCATTTCCATTTCTAAAATCACAAAAGCTTCGTTAGCCTTTGTTTTCACCTGAGTAGTAAAATGTTGCACCCTTCTTTTTGTCTTCCAGTGACCACAAGGGATCACCGTTTGAGAACAAAACCATTGAACGCACATTAAGTGTGGAGATTGCTGGAACCCCAGGTGAGCCAACCTCTCTGATTATTTGAAACATGTAATGCTAACCTGTGAATATTCTCACCTGCTTATCGGAGCTAATAATGGGTTAACTGGTTCCACCATCTTGGTAGTTCCATCACAGTTCAGAGTTCGGTGAAGGCATTGGAGAACTCTTTTATGTGCCTGAGTATTGATTAGGCTTTCCAATCTCTTCAGGGTTTATTAGCAAACCCCTCCCCTCCCTACCACACCGACCACAGTTAATATGCATTTCCTCTGCCTCTATCAGATCCTAATGTTCTCTGACTGACAGCTTACTTAGCCTACATATGATAGGAACATTTAAATCAAGGTGTTAGTGCTTCAGTTGCTTTCTACAGTGTTATTCCGTTTTGCCTGTGCGATCTTTGCTGCTTATCGACAGTATCTTTTTATGTTATTGAGTTCAAATTAAAGATTCTGTGAGGAAGTGTCATTTTGTGTCACATTTGGCTCCCCCTGTGGACAAAGCAGTAACTCTTATCCCTTTGCTAACAACCAAAAACACTGCTACTCTCTTTGAGCAGTCAAACATATCAGTCACTGTGAATCTTTATCATCGTAAACAAAGTATGGAGCGTTTGATTGACTCCTACCCGGTGGCAGGAGTTTGGGACATTTAAAATAACTGTATAGAAATAATCAGTCTTTATCGTTATGGTCTGGTTTGGTTTTTCAGCTCATATGGGGGAATCACTGTTAATGTCAATCTGTTTAACAACCATTTATAAATTCCTTACGGGAGCTTTAACTGCATCAGAACAAAACGTTAAGAAAAGGTGACAATAAGGCCAAATTTGAGGGTCATATATCCATTTTTGAAGTCTTACGACGATTACATTTTTTCAAATTATAAGAATTATATGACTGCCCTTTAGCCCCTTAAATTGTGTGATGTGGCACCTGGCCCCTTCCAGTACTCATTTACCAGCAGGAGAAACAGTCCTCGTACATACCTCATGTCTCTTTAGGGATATGGAAATCTGAAGCACATCAAACCCCAAGAGGGTCTCCCTGTTTCCCTCTGACCTTGGTCGAAGTGCCGTTTAACCCTTTTGTGTAGATAAGCTTTCCAGGGTCAAAGGGGATGCCTGTTGAGACCAAGCACAGTGAAAGAGCTGCGCCGCTTAAGCTCTGGGGCAATCAAGCGAGGTTAATATTTCTTCCTGTTTTACTGCACGTGGGTGAGCCTTTTGACCTGTGGCCAAATCTAAGCGTCCGTTCCATTCAACAGACCTTGTCAAAGAAAGCCTTTCATGTGACTTCACAAATTTTGGATTGAATATTAGCAGAAAAAGTCATTAGTCCAGGAAGCTCTGGGTCACTGAGCCCCTTTTACTTCTTAGGGATTAGCTTTTTGAGTCTCGTGCTGTAAGAGACTGATGGAAATGGACCCCTTTAAGCGGGGTTGAGAGCTATTAGGTCCTGAGTTACATGTCCTTTGCAGATTTTGAGTAACATTCCACTACAATGGAGATTATCACGGTGTTACTGATAACCAGATGGAAGTTACCCAGGAGGGCAGGTCCACCCACCGCCTTAGAGGAAACTCACTAATGGAACTTTCCATGAAATGTGGTCAGCAACATTATTTATGGCTTTATGATGGGTTGTAGTAGTAGTAGTGGTTACTGTTTGATAGAAAGATTTATCAGTTGGATACGAACCTGTACATTTTGTTCTCTGCCAATTCATTATTTAGTACTTAAAGCTCCTATCAGCAGTACTTAGCTGGCTATGAAACAATCCTAAATGAATACTGATGCCTCCTTATGAGCAACAAAAGCAAAGAAGACTACCCCAGCAAGACTGACTGTTTCTATATTGTTATTTTAATGCCTTAAACAACTGCTGTCAGATGGAGTTAACAACAGATTGTTGCAGAAAAAAAATACATTTTTTAAAAATGTTTTCCATGGCAAAGATTCTTGATAGTGATACATTGACTGTTAAAAGAGAGTATGATGCTGTAAGGGACAAAGTCTTTCGTTCGTTTCGTCCAGAATAGTCGCCAAAATCCAAAGTTCCTCACAGGAGCTTTAAAGAAGGCTTTCTTCCATCACTGTTGGCTGCATGTTTCCTTGACACCTCTCATAAAGGTTCAGTAGAGGCAACAACAAGCAGTGAGCTCTCCTGGGATCGGCCTAATCTTTGCCAAGCTAATAGATTTACCCTGTGCTGCCGTGTTGTCTTTAATTACTGTATCTCATGACACTGGGGTGGTCTGTGTGTAGATATTTGCATGGCTTAACGCCGGATCAACTCTTTAAGCTCTGAGTGGTTATTAACTGGTTGCAATTTGCATCTGGACCAGAAAAAAAAGATTGCAAAACCTTTTTTTTTTTTTTTTTTTTTGCTGTCTTACTGACTTTCTCTCTATTGGCTTCATGATTGGTTTTAACCAGTGGATCATCCATCACCAGCACGTTTGACTGAGAGGCACATATTTATCTAATTCTGATTTATTTCAACCCCATCGCTAATGGCGCCTAGTTTATGACCCCACGTCGCACATTGTTTTGGACAGATGGCACTTCATGGTGAAACAGAAGTTCCTCAGGCTATGTGTAGCACACCCTCTTTTTCTCTCCTTTCTGCTGCTCATACAGTAAATGTCTATATCTCTCTGAGAGCTGAGAGAAGGAAGAAAGAGGGTATGAAAAAAAAAAAGAGGGAGTAGAGGCTCCTTACAGACACATCCCCTTAATAAGTAGGATGCTAAGCCGTTGGATCAGGCATTCCAAACACAGCGAGCGGTTTCAGAAACTTGCATATTTATGTATCAGGCTGTCTTCCCTTTGCACACTCTAACACTGGATTTGATACTAATAGCTGTCATTTGGTGCAATTCACCAGCGAGGGAAGAATGATGTGCATTATAAGAAAGGCAAAGAAGAGGGGAGAGCGTAGGTGTTTCAAAGTGTCGGAGTTTGACTCCAGTGAGAGACTGTTAGCGACGAGTGTGCGTGTGCGTGCGTGCGTGTGTGTGTGTGGGCACATTTGTTCTGCGCGAGACAGAAACAGGATATGATACCAAGAGAGGAAAAGGGAGAAGTGGAGATTGATTCGGGGAACAGGAAGAGAAGGAAAGGGGAGAATACATGACTAAAGGAGAGGAGGAAAGACAGAATGAGAGTAATGGCGGCTGCTGTTTGTGTGAGTGCATTAACAATGCTATAAAGTGGGCTCATCTCAGGACTTCCCATATAACTGCCATCTGTCTGGTTGTAAATCTGTAGGAGGTTGGGGGGGGGGGCTCATGCAGTAGGGACATGCCATCTGAGAAGAATGACAACCCATTCGACAGTTTTCCTGTGCTGCCATGAAAAAGCAGACGTTTCAGCATGGTAACATTCTCCGACGGAGGCGGATTTGTACTTCAAGAGAAGCAACATTGTTTCGCAAAAAAATGTCTTTGGTTTTATTCAGATGAATTGGCTGCCGTCCAGAGTGGACACTCACGTGAAGCGGGCAGAGTTATGATACTTGTTCTTTCATTTTTTTTTCCATCGGATGCATTAGGTTCGTCCTCTGCAGGGTTTTTTTTTTTCATGGAAAGGGATCTTTCCAAGGTCAGAGAGGAAGGAGACGGCAAGTCATCCGTATTACAGCGCCATCATATTAAGTTACACCAAGCATTACATTAATCTGTCAAGATTGCAATAAAATAGAGATCAGGATTAGGCCGAGGGAAAGTGAATATTTTAATCAAGCATGTATCTGTGTCCACTGTCCATAAACTGACCTGTGAGTTTATAGGTAAGTAAGGGGGGGGGGAGGGGGGGGAGGGGGTATTTGGAGGGATTTGCATTGTGACTCCATTTAAATTTTATTGACACCACCCTTCTCTCTTTGTGCCTCCCTCTGCAGGTCTGACACCACCTACCACGCCCCCACACAAAGCCAGTCAAGAGAATCTTTTCAAAGCATCGCTCAAAACCAAGTTGTCTTCATGTTCCTCCTCGGCCTTGGTGTGCAAAAGAGCAAGGCTGAGCGAGTCGGGCCCCGGCGCTCTGGCCCCGGCCCCAGGTGCCTCAGGCGGGGGCCCCACAAGAAAGGGCCCCGAACAGACTGAGCTTTATGCCCAGCTGAGCAAAGCGTCCCCCGCCCTCCCTTACACCCAGCACACAGCGGGGTGTGGCCTCGAGGAGCATCGTGGCGCTGGCAACAATAAGCGGGCAGTGCCGCGCGGTTACAGTGACCATGACTATTGCCAGGCGTTGGCTGGCGCTAAGAAGGACGGCAGCACAGCCACTGTTACCATGACGACAGCAGCAGAAATAACCACCGCTGCTCCTTTGCCTTTTGCTGGCAAAGCAGAGGACAGGCATGTCGAATGTAAGGACTCAGCCATGCCAGCGTCCTCCTTATCATCCTCATCTTCATCTTCTCCATTATCAGCTCCATGTGGTCCTCTGGATAAGCAGAAGAACTTCACCTCTGTGGGTGATAAAGAAGCAGTCCAGGTCCATGAAGACACCACAGATGGGGACCAACTACACCTCTCTGCCATCAGCCGGAAGCTTCTGTGCGATCAGGAAATCAGAGCAGAACTCAATAAGCACTTTGGACCCCCCTTAAAAGCCCTTTACAGCCCGGGTAGCAAGGAGAGAGAACCAGGTAGCAAACCCAATAAAGCTGCGGTCAATCAGCCCCCCAAGGCGGGAGAGGATGGCTACTACTCCCAAAGGCTGCCTGGCTCCACCTACCTGCACCCGGGATTCCTCCCCTTACAAGAAGAGCTCGAGCTCGGCGAGGGCCGTGAGAGTCGCTTCCTATATCCATGGGAGGGCACTCCACTGGACCTACTCTTTGACTGCCCCCCATGCTCTCCCTCCTGCTCCCCACCATCCAGCTGCTCCCCCTCACGAGGCTCCGTCTCCCCTCCGTCCTCCCTACTCCTCTCGCCGGGCAGGCCTTTCTCCTGGACAGGCAGCGGCTCACGCTCCCGTTCCCGTTCCCACTCCGGCTCTCGCAGCTCCTCCTCGCACCACCGGAGGCGATCCCTCTCCAGCTCACCCGACAGACACCCCTCCTCCTGGTAAGCTATATCTTTTTGGCTGCTCCCTGGCTGCTTGCCACCCATGCAGTTCAAACAGGTCTTGGAGCTGGCAGCGGATCTATCTTAGGAGTGTAAAACAGTTCTGATCAGTCGTCAGAGCTGGAGTCAGACAGGAAAGACCCTGTAGATTCATGGCTGGCATGCCATGGCTTCTTGCCCTCCTGCTAGTCTTTTCTTTGCACTGACTAAATGCAGACTTTGGCAAGTCCAACAAAGAAATGAACCTTTCTGCATTCACTATAGAAATTCTGCCTATTAAACCAGGTGGCAACAGATAATGAGGAAAGCGTTGGGTCTAATGTTGCCCTCTTAACAACACAGAAAAAGAGAAAACCCCAGAACATGAAACGTGCTAGAAGCAGTTGACGTTTGAACAGTATGAGTTTTAATCTCCAGGCAGGACTTTTATTTGAGTATCTTCCTAACAGCCCCCCCCCCCCTTCTCACTTGCTCCTGTTTTCTTTTTGATGCCGAGGCTATTGTTTTAAGCAGGCAGCTGTTGTTTTTACTGAGTGGCAAACCCTCCTCCTTTACATCCCAAGAGATGAAAGTCGAATCCAGGCTGTGGGAGTGTAGACTTGAAACCCCCCCTCAAAAGAGACTCCTATCATCATCATAGCTCTGTGTGAGAACTACATTTCCCATGCTTCCCTTTGATCAGAGCTGAGGGGTTTTCAGTTGTTGTTCTTTCTTCAGCAGAAGAACAGAAGTGAATTGTGGTCTGTGAGGAAGATGTGAGTGAATTCAGTTTGTCAGTTGTGGTTCATTGAGTGTACGACTCCTCTGCACTGACTCACTTTGTTTGCTTGATTACTTAAAGGTCAGTTTACTCTGCACAGCCAATAGAATCACTCTATTCCGTTCCACACCGACTTGCTCACAAATTATACAATAATAGTCTCAAGGTACTCTCTCAGAATCTGACACTGACAGGCTTTCTGAAAATACTCGGCTGGGATCTGAGTTTTTCCAAAACAATAGAACAAGAAGCTTGAAAAGATAAATAGAATTTCAGCAGAATAACTCTCAAAATCCCTCCTCTGCGTTTCAAGTTTCACAGCGTAAGATCCTCCATCTTTGCAAAACTGGCGGTGCTTTGCTTATGTGAGCTTCCCAAAACCTCTCCCCCCTCCATTATTCAGGTCTTCCTTCTTCAGCAACACTTCAATAATTAAGTATCAGAAGCTTGAGGAGAGCAGGGGTACAAGCTCCACAGTCAGGCCACCGGGGCCCACAGTATTGACCATTTCCTTCATACAACATAGATAGCAGGTGTGGGTTTTTTGCTTGCTCAGGTGTGGAGGAGAGTTCTGAGGAAAAATCATGCTCACTCTCCTTTTCCAGGGGTTAGGTTGGGACAAAGTAAGGAGGAAAATGAGGGCTTTCATGTGGAATTAACCCAGTTTTTGTACACCTGAATGGGGCTTGGAAGTATTAAAGAAGGTAATAACGTTCTGGAGAAATTAATCAAGTCTTCAGAAATTTGCATTATATGATATGAGTAGATGTAAGTGTGAGATCAGCAGCAGTTTCTTACAAATGCCCTGTGTAAAATAAGAAATAAAACAGATTCTGATTTTAAAAAGTATGTTTTTTTTCCACATAGGTCCCGTCACAACACAGATTTGAGCACTATTCGTTCCAGGACTCAGAAGAACCCCAACCCTCAGTCTCGATCTCCTCTCAGCCGCAGGCCAAGGTGAGTATCTTAGTTCAGATCAACTTGGTTATACTTGTTTGGAAGGAGTTTCAGAACTACAATTATTGCCAAACCATCTATTGAAAACCTTTTAAACAAAAAAAAAAAAAAGCGAAGTTGCAAAAGACAAAACACATCATGAGTAACTTTTTTCCTGTCACCACTCACAAAAAGTCAAATATCCCCTGGTTTAGTTTCCTGTCAAGCAGAAGCTCTCTCACAGTCTGCACCATTCACGCTGGAGGCCTCATGACAAAACATTCAGGACAAATGTGTTTAATTGATCATGTTCTATTTGACTTGTGTCGAAAGAATCCCAAACCGCACACAAGCACACTCATACTTCACTTCAGAGTCGACGCTCCCAGCTGTAAAATGGCGTTTATTAAACTAAGCGTCTCTGTAGTTTTTTTCATGAGCTTCTGCAAAGTCAAGAAAGAGAGACGGAGAGAGAGAGAGAGAGAAAGAGAGACTGACACCATCCCAGCGCTCTGAGCTGATTTGGCACCCACAGGCCTAATGACACACGACAAGCCTAAGAGTGGCTCATCAGTTGAAAACTTAACGGACACGTCTTGTGCCAGTCTGGGGTGGTGGTGGTGGTGGTGGTGGTGGTGGTGTGGGGGAGAGAAGTTGCACTTTCCCTCTTGATGAAGCCTTAAGTAAGCAGAAAGTAATGACATGTGAAGTTGTGCTGACAGTTGCAGCTGCCCGGCTCCCCGACCGCGCTGCTCACCGTCTCTCCCGCGGGCCTTTTCCTGCGGGCGCGGTAATCATCGCAATGGCGGAGAGACATCTTATTAACATGTCCGTTTCCCCTCTTCCTTTTCAACACCTTTTCCTTACCGTCAGTGGGGGAGAAATGGTGGGCTACTCCTCGGTGGATACTGGCAGTAGTTCTTCTGTAGGAGGGTGAATTTTAGAGGGCGATGTAGGACAGTGATGTCACACCTCTCTCTCTTTTTTTTTTCTTCTTCTCCCTAGGTATGACAGCTATGAGGAATACCAGCATGAGAAGCTGAAGAGGGAGGAGTACCGGCGGGACTACGAGAAGCGGGAGTTTGAACGGGCCGAGCAGCGAGAGAAGCAAAAGCAAAAAGCAATAGTGAGTCAGCCCACCTCATTTCTAAGCTTGACTTTCCTGCTGAGCTGCTAAAAAAAAAAAAAATATGCAATCACTGTTAGGAAATTCTGCAAACACAAACACACTTACATGAGACAGCCGTCAGCCCCGATGCAATGTGCCACAGCCGCTCTATACATACAAAGTGAGTTCCTGAATGATTCAGGCGACAGGCCCTTCCTCTTTATCTCCGGGTTGTGTATTTTTAACATCTCTGTGGTCTGGAAACACTGTCCACTCTTATTAATCACACCACAGGGGCAAAATGTTAAAATAGTCTAAAACAGAAACGAGTGCCTTTCAAAATCCAGCCACATTTCTCTCATAAATCTGCTTTGCACGTCTTGGTGTGAAATCATTCCGTTTTCCTGCAGCTACCACCACCACCCGTTGATAAAGCACACATTAAATGATGCAGGACGGCAAACCTGGCTTGGCATGCATGCATATTCAGAGATGGAAAAGACAAACAATTATGAGCAGCGGAGCTCAAGCTGTCAAACAAGGTTTGGGAGGCCGTGCATGTGAAGGCATCTCCTGTCTGTTAGTCTGTCTGTCTCACACACACACACACACACACACACACACACACACACACACACACACACAGGCAGCCCTTAGGGGGCCATCAACCAAAGGCAGCTTATTTATCAGTTGTCAGCATCTAAACCCCTAATTCAGCAAGTCCGTTTCTTTTTTTTTGTTCAAACTATATGTAAGCACTAAAGAGTGGAAAAGGCATCAAAAACAGCCATCTGTAGTTAATATGTATTTCTACTGCTGCTTCACAGAAGACTCACTGAGCAAAGGTGAACTTTGAGTTGAGCACAAGGCCACTGATTTACACACGTGTTCCTAGTACCCTCAAGACAGCTTTTAAAACTTCAACAAGCCTCAGCGGATCTGCTTTTTGTAATGGCAAGTAAATGAATGAATAAATAAATAATACTGGTGGAACACTATAGCCCCAGGCTCATGCTATATTATATGATTAGCAGATGCAATTAAACTACTCAAAAGCTGTAATTGCAGCCCGGTGCGGCGTGTTCCTAAATTATTCCACTATGACCCCCAACGTCCTCTGAGGTTTAAGGAAATTCATGTTTTCTGCCCCGTGGCTCTAAATGCTCCCCGTCTCTTGGAAATGAATATCCATGTCATATTAACAGACTTCTTATTTAGCAGCCATGCCTGTGCGTTGCACGAGTAGGAGAAAAAGAAAAAGGCTTTTTTTTGATGTACGGCTGAGTCACTCCAGCGCTTTATTTTTAGACTTCACAAAAAGGAGAAGCAAACTTAAGACATGGCATCATTTGATAAAAATCACTTGATGAGTTGCAGCGAGAAAAAAAAGAAAAAAAAAAAAAAAAAAAAGGAATTGTGGTGCCAAGGCAGACTGAGGGGCCCTCTATCTGCAACTCTATCAGATAACAAGCTGAACCAATCACGGAGGAACACAGACGCACACAAAGTGTAGAGGGACAAAGAAGAAAAAAAGAGGGGGGGGGGGGATTGGGGGTGGCGTGGCTAGAGTCAGCTGTAGTATCCACAGGAGTGATCAAGACCAATTCATTAAGGCTGGGTGAAGAAAGGGAGAGGAAACAGGAAAAGAACGGCTCCCCCTTTTTAATCTCCGTCTGTCTTTCCTCTTTAACGAGCAGGAGGAGAGACGGGTGGTGTACGTGGGGCGACTGAGGTCCGACTGCACCCGGACAGAGTTGAAGCGTCGCTTTGAAGTCTTTGGCGAGATTGAAGAATGTGCAGTGAACTTGAGGGACGATGGGTAAGGCCCCAGGACAAACTTCTGTTCTTTTCTTGTGTGTGAGTGTGTGCGTCTATATGTAAGTCTGGATGTAGGGCAGAGGGATAGGAGGCTTGAACTTTAACAAAACAAAAAAAGAAAAGTGTTGAAGGTCTAAAACAAAGACGGAGTTTGTGCAGTCTAAGAGCATCTCCTGATCCATCTACAGCGCCCTAAAGATACACTTTTATTGATTCTCTTTTGCATATAAATAGCGTGATCGCCACTGAAGACAAGGGCCCTGTGTGTGCTTATTGTTTGTTGCCCCCACAGCATCATTCTGACGTATGGCTTTTCTATTCCTGAACAGGGACAATTTTGGCTTCATCACGTACCGCTACACTTGTGACGCCTTTGCCGCCCTTGAGAACGGACACACCTTACGCAGGTCAAACGAGCCTCAGTTCGAGCTGTGTTTCGGCGGGCAGAAGCAGTTCTGCAAATCACATTACACAGACTTAGGTGAGTGGTTTTTATATTTTTGTGTATTTTCCATCAGTCCCTTGTTGTCATCCAGTGTGTTTTGCATTTTTTGGGAATGACGTCCAGTGAAACAAGACGCGAAAAATTAGCCTGAAAAGAAGACTGGAGCGATGCTTTAAAAGCAAAAGTGACCCAGCTCGTGTCCAGCAAGCGTTTAAGACATTATCTTTGTGTCATCCAGTGTGTTTTGCATTTTTACACAAAGATAATGTGCAACACACTGGATGCACAAAGATAATCCATAATAAAGCTCAGTTTTGTAGCTGAGGCACCTTTAAGAAATCAAGGCAAAGTCCAGACTCTTTTAACACCTGCTGCATGTTTTTACTTTGTCCACATGAAATGCAACACATCGGGCAGAAAGATAGCTCTTCAAAGCATGCGTGCAGCTGTGTGCAAAGGCGTGTTTTCACCCGCTTCTGGATGTGCAGTATGTGCGTGGGTGTGGGAATCACCTTTTTAAGAGCATGAAGAGGAGAGGAGGGGAGGGGTAAAAAGATGAAATTACAAGAGACAGAAAAAGACGCGGTGAAGGAAAAGAGATGAGGTGAGGAAGAGGAAGGTGGGAGCAAGGTTAAGTCCCAGCAATCTCTCCCTCCCTCCAGAGCCAGCCTCCATCTGTTGCCAGCTGTTGCCGCTCCTTTACATAGAGGAAGGGGCCACTGTGAAAGCAGACACACTCACCGTTACTCGCTGCCTTTGTTGGGAGCCAGAGGGTTTAGCCAGAATGCAGCAAAAATCATCCAACATGAGTGATTCCTCAGAGTAAACATGCATGTACGTACATAGCTGCTATATTGATCAGGAACGTATATCACAGACAGAAAGCTGCACGCAAATGGATGCAGCCCAGGGTTGAATGACGCATATGCTAAATAATGCAGGATATCAATGAAATCCAGGCTTTTTTTTTTTTCTCTGGCAGGATGCCCCACTTCTGACATATGAAGAAAAAAGCTGCTTTCTTGTCTCCTGAGAGAACTTCTTCCTAGGTGTAGATAACTGAGTAGCCAGGTTATCATGGAGACACATAAGGAAAATATCGACCCTTGACATGTATTTACCACTAAGAAGTGAGGTCAGGAATGTATAATGCACAGCAGCAAGAGGGTCAACGGGTCACCGCAAAGAAAAAGAGCACTTTCCTCAGTAAATGAAGCGGTTACTATACATTGCCAAAGCACATGCTCGGAGCCATCGGCTTTTAAAGAGACGGCATGATGAGAAATTGACACACACAGAAACAGTTGCTAATCCCAAAGCCTTGAGGACACACATTATGTTGGGATTGACTAATCAGTCCACTGAAATGGAAAGGGGCCTTCATTTCGACCGCCTCTTTGTCAGGAGTGGGCTATTTTTGGTCGTCCCCACACTGATAGCACAGGATAAAGAGATTGAAAGGGAATAGTTTCCCCCTTCGTCTTTTCAATCTTACAGGCCCTCGCTTCCTTTTTTTGTTTTTTTCGGAGACACTGTCCATTAGTTTAAAGTAGAGCACCGGGGTATTTTTCATCCCTCAAGGTGCGCTGTGTGACACAATCCAGCCCGTGGCCACTGCATTAGATCACGACCGGCGTCTTCCAGCTGCCATGGTCACTCCCATTTCTCAAAGCTCTCACCGTGTGCTGCTGGCCCCTTTGGGGGAGGGGGAGGGGGAGGGGGAGGGGGGGGATTTGTGAAGCTGTCTGTTGGCAGAGATAAGATGCTCTTTATGTATTATCAGTTGATCAGGAAGAAGAGACATATGAGGGATGGAATGACATATTTATATGCTCTCATGACTGTTGTTTTTCATTTTCTGACTATTTGAATCTTTGGTTGAAGTTATTAGGTTACTATCTAACAGACTTTATTTCCCACCATGGATTAAATGTGTCTTCTATGAAAAAAAACGCAAATGTACATACATGTAGAAGTAAAGAGAATAGGACACCCCGTTAGAGCCATGAGTTTTTCCATAAGTACATGTTATTCTTTTGAAGTTAGTGTGGCGTACTTAAAGATATGTAGCCAAAATATGCAACAGATTTTCTTCCTCACCATTACGCAGTTTGGAAACTTTAAATCTCAACTGCATGTTAAAGGAACTTTCACTTTTGTGTTGATTTTTGGCGCCACCTGTGGACAAAGCCTCGGCTCGTATTGCTTCGCTTATTTGGTCCTGTAAATGTGTAAGAAGTGTGCGATGAACACGTCACAGTCAAATGTGTCACTCAGCGGGAAAAAGGTGTTTCTGCTGCATGCAGGTAAATCGCTGCGTCTGACACCTACCCTGCGGCAGCTTCTCCGTGCATTAAAAATACAACAATGCAGAAATAGCCAATCTTGATGCTGATGGTCTCGTTTGGTTTTGTAGCTCAGAAAGAAGCATCCATATTCATTTCAGTCTGTTTTAAAACCAGCTAAAAGTCATCACCGGATCATTAACTGTAAGATAAACATTTGACTGTGAAATAATGACGTAAAGACGGAATATTCTGGAAGTTTCCAACAATATCCCCCCCCCCCCACAATATGAAGCTGCTGTTTTATCTTCATTTTCAATGGAATACCTCTTTAACACTGAACTCCTCCTTTCTTGTCTCTTTCAGACTCCCACTCAGACGACTTTGATCCAGCCTCCACAAAAAGCAAGTATGACTCCATGGATTTTGACAGCTTGCTGAGGGAGGCCCAGCGCAGCCTGAGAAGGTAACCAGTTCAGTGGCACCTGCTGTCACAAAGAGGGACTTCTGATACCTCACTGTTTGTTTCTCGCTCCTTTGACGACGAGACTACCACAAGTTTTACACTCTATGTCATAGAGTATAGAAGAATAAGTCTATAGACCTATATCAATATAAATGAATATATCAAAAATAAAGTTTACATGAACATAGCTGCTGGAGAGACGGGAAGAGACAATGCATTGTGGGAAAAGCCAGTGAACCCTCAGAACCTGGTGCACAGGTTTACTGCTGTACAACCATCAATGAAAGAAGAAAAAGATAAACTTTCGTGACTTTTTTGTTGTTGTCTCCAAGCACTACAATACCCACAATTCTTTGGGAGTGACGACATGCAGCTTGTTCAGCCAGATTTCGTTCTTTTGCTCTTTTTGATTCTTCTTTTTTTCTTTGAAAATCTGGTGTTTGGATCTAGTGTTACATTACAAACCAGAGTATAGGGAATTGTATCTTGGAGGTCAACTTCTCCAGGTAACATTGTTGTCTACATTTTAAAGAGAAATGCAGCTGTGTATTTACTAATACTATAAAAAGGAATATTTTTATTTTATGTACATATCGGATAAAGTTCTTTATTTGTTACAGCTATGCACTGTAAAATGCAGCCTTTTTTTAAAATGAAGAGAAAATTTCTTAATTCAGAATGTCGCTCTGTAGTACTTACAATACTGTCAAACATATTGTACACCTACACGATGTTTAGGAGACATGACATGATTGTAAAAAAGAGAAAAAAATAAGCGTCCTATTGCTCATTTTGAGGGAGCATGTGAACAAAACGTCCTTTTTTAAGTTATTTTGTTGGGGAAAAAAAACAGTCTACCATGTATAGTTTTATCTGTTTATAAAGTTTTTCTCAATCAGTGTTTTTGCTTATACAACCAGTGTAAATGCATTTTTAATGTGTTTTTCATGATTGTAAAAAAAAAGGTACCCCATTTTTTATTAATTCTTTCTGAAGCAATCAGTATATATATGTAGATGTGTATCTATACATATATATAAACTTGGTTTGATTTTATTGCTTTATATGATTACTGAAAGAAACGACTGCATTCAACTCTTTTCAATCAGAACAAACACATATTTATCTATTTATTTTAATATTTGAATCAAGACTATTTATGGGCTCCATTCAACATGGCGTACCTCATGAAATGTATTTTTCTGTTCATGTCGTCTTTCGATTTGTGTTATTTAACTCTCAATCACTAGACAGGGTGTACAAAACATGCTTTGGTGGGGATAATAATATTACCTTCTATGCCTTTCCAAAACAATCGAAACATTCAGCTGATCACTCCAGACGTACTCGTTTATTTTTTTAGTCTCCACTATCGTCAGTCACATCCGGTTTTTTCTTTCCACACAGAACATGAAGCAATAAAATGATTTAGCAGGATTTTTTTGATACCACTGTAAACACTTGTTGTCATCGCTCCACTCACGCTTGATTATGTGAATGCCAAACAAAAAGTTTACAATTTCCTTTTCCTGACTTTTTTAAAAGATCTTGTATTTGATGTACAATATAAATATATATACAATGATGATACTACTAATATTATTCACAATAATTACAAGATGATTAATTACAATAACAATGATAATAATATAAATGAAAGAAAAATATATAAAAAGCAATAAATTATTTTTCAGAGTTGTATTTTAGCTCCTATTGTTGTGTGGTTTTTGGACGTGACCCATTACCCAGCCGCTGCTAGCTAGCTAGCTAGTGTGGATGACTCCATTCCAGTATGTTGGTATTACATCATTGTGACATCACCATGTGCGGTTAAGAAAAAAACAAACACTAGATTGTCCTCGCTCTCACTTCCTGGTCATCCCTTTAAGATGTAATTGAGTCTATGTGATTGTAATGCACGCATTACTTTGTGACATCTGTGCAAAAAAAAAAAAAAAACCCTGACTCTTAACTCCACCGTGTGTGTAAAATGTGTCGAGTTGAAACTGTGTTGTGTAGATGCATGGCTTGTCCAGGACGACAGTCGGTACCGTATATTCCACTCTGGATATCTGCCTCTCAGCTGTCTTTACTGGCAGATTTTAAATGACATTCTATAAGCCTAGAGAAAACTACTCAACAATGTATCGCATGCCGCACCAATCTCCATCACGTACCCTCCCCCCCCACCCACACCCACCACACCCACCCCCACCCACCCCCACCACTCACAGTCCAGATATCACAGCCGCCGCCGCTGCTACATGACATAAAAGGTAACCTTGCGGTTTCTGGTTCAATTAATATCCCGTTTCTAGCGTGCGCCAAGTAATGAGAGAACCAGCTTCCATCACAGGAAGGGTGAACAAAAAAAAAAAAAAAACCTTTTGTATGAAAGCTTTTGCTGATCACAGCCTTCCTTTCATGGAGTTTGACAAGAAAATGGCTAATTTTTATGATGCAAAGAGACAAAAATTGGTGGAGGGAAGGATGAAAAAACCCTTTACCTGTGTTTTGAGACATTGTTTCACTTTTTTGCTGTCTGTATAGCGTATGGGTAATGGTGTCGTGTCCCATTTGATAGATGTGGCTTTAATCATTGTAACAAAAAAAAAATGCTTTGTAAATTGCCTAGAGTAGCAATATATTATAAACACCTTATGGTTCAAATTTCAACTGTGGCGGACTTTTTAATAATGTGACCTACTATGGAGGACTTTGCCACTGCTTAAACGTTTGTTGGGTAATCATGTTTCTTTTGGAAGGACAATATGTACGTTTGAATGTATGTGTGGGTTTGTGATTTTAGGGAAAGTGTGTGTGTGTGTGTGTGTGTGTGTGTGTGTGTGTGTGTGTGTATGTGGGGAAGGGGAAGGGGAAGGGGGGGGGCCACTGTGGGTTGTTACCTGTTTGTGTCCTATCCACGTTGCCTTCTGCGAAGTCCTTACCAATGCCTTTGTGGTTCTACCTATTGTACGACTTTCTTGTGAATTTTATTTTTTATGTGCAATTCTCATCAGCCTCACCATGCCAATAAAGGGAAATGTGTTTGAAAAAAAAAAGAAGAAAATTCTCCTTTCTTTCTCTATTGTCTTCCTTTTCTCGGTTGTACCACTTTCAGTCGGCGCTGAGGAATGATTATGATCTGCTATCAAAGGAACAACCTTCAAGTTGTTTTTTTTTTTAAAGAAAATGATTTAAAAAGTCCCGAAAACAATGCATGCTGCAAATGTGGATTGCAAAATACCCCCCCCCCCCCCCCTTCCTGCGCTTATAAATCAAAGTGTTGAATGAAAGCTGACTGAAGTGACACGAGGCCATCCTCAGCACATCTGTCTCCCTCTGAAGTTTCTCTCCTAATAAAGAATCTCGGCTTAATTCAGAGCAACATCCCTCTTTGATATTCATATCACCTGGGAGAGAACACTACAGTCTTTGTCTGTGTCCACAACTTGACTCCACACCATGCGTCTGCGAGTTAATTAAAAAGTTGGGGGGAACAATTTCATTAACACGATAGAGAGAGCTATAGTAAGTTGATGGTGCGCTTGATATTCAATAGGGCTTCATTATGGCTCTAACACCCCCTCTCCTCTCCTCCTCTTTCTTTTCTTTTTCTTTCTTTTAACACACATCTTCGCCTGGGAGCTGGGATCACACCGGGAGCTTCCACCATGTCCTTTTTTTAAAAGAAATATGGGAAGAATGTGCATTAAACTTTAAGGTTGGGGGTCTGATTGTGTTTTTTATTAAGGCCGCTGTTTAGCCCCGGAGAAGAGAGCGCGGCCGCCTTTCATTTCGACTCGGCTGCCGCATTACAGCGGGAGGTCTCCTTCTGCTTGCCCTTTCCACAGAATGAAACTGTCCCTGGAAATCTCCCCCGCGCTCCCTGTCGCCTTTTTTTTCTCCCTTCTCTCTTTCTCCCACCTCTCTCTTTCCATCACGATAGGATGGCTTTTTTTATCTGTTATGTGTCTTTTTTATTATTAACCACTAGATAAGCAGCTATCTCGACTCCAGTTGGAGGTAAGTGGTAGCCTTGGAGATAATGGGGTTTGATGGGGCTGCGGCTCTCTGTGGGACAAACACTGAGATGTTGCTGCTGAGTTGTCTGAGCTCTGTATTTTATTTGGCATCGAGCTGTGGCTGCCGTCTCAGAATCCTGAAAGTGGCACTCGCTATTCTGCCTTTGTTTTCAGACGTGTGACATGCATGTGTAAATGGCTCGTGTGTTAGTGGCCGAGCTGTAAAACCTTTGCCCAATATGGCAGCTCTTTTATGAGGATCCCATCCCTCGCATGTAAGCAGGCCGCTGTGTGGAAAAAAGCACTCTTGGATAATAAGATTAGACTACCTGAGACTGGTTAATTAAAGCCTGTGGGGTGGAACATGAGCTATCCAACCAGTAATTTACCATCAAGAACACTTTTTTTTAATTGTCAGCCTAGCACTAGCTACATCAGGAGCACACATTTCACTTCTTTATCAATGGAGACAGGTGACTCTGAAGCAACAGCCTTTCTCTTTGTTTAAACCACAATAATTCAAGTCAACACTGATGATCTCCGAAATACAAGGCTGGCAGGAAAATAAAAAACAAGATTGTAGTGAACCAGAAGACCTAAGATTAGTCTTAATCCCCCAAACTCCTCTGCACTTTCTTCCCTTTGACCCTCGTGTAGCTGTTCATTTTTGAAGTTTAAGCCAAGAACGTAATGCTAATCTGTTGCCAGGAAGGATTTGACACCCCAAGAGCGTTCAAGCAAAGCCAAATCAATAAGACTTTGCCATGTCTAGAAGAAGAAGAACAATCTAGAAACATCATCATATCATGACGGAGGTGGCTGCGGGGGTAGAAGCTGTTATTCCAGTCAGATTGCATGATGTGCAAACGTTGGGACGGTTGCTTAAGCCACACTGCCCCGTGGTGTGCTTTGGCTGTGGTCACGTGAATTTTTTGGCTCACATTAGATCATGAGAAAAAGAGTCACTTCCTGTGGGCCCATCATGTTGAATAAAACTGAGCATTTTGTCCCCATCATCAACAGATTAAACCACTGGATGTTGCTTGGATTTCTTCAACCGTTTCTTTGCTAGCGCCTGCCCCCCCCCCCCCCCCTGACAAGCCTTCCATCGTATGCCACCTTATGGGAGGAGATAATGACTTTGCTATTAAAACCGCAATCTCCCCATTCGGCATTCTAGTTTCAGCACTTTCTGCTGTTAAAGAGTAATGAGGAACAGAAGGACAGTATTCTTCTTCCCCCTAAACTATCAACTTTGGGGACTGAATGTATTCTTCGCTAGATAATTAATGGCTACAGACAAATGGTGGTTGATTGAGCGACTCATCCCTCTATTTTCAATCACCATCTGCTGTGTGTTGCTGGCAAAAAACAATGTTAATTACCTCAAGTGTGCCCAAGACGTGGCGTATTAATTAGAACAACAAAAAAGGGAAACCTAAAAGATTCCAGTGTTTTAGTATCTGAGATGATGTGTGTGTGCGTACGTTTAGATTTTGTTGATGGATTAGCATGCAAACGAGATCCAGACGGTAATCATTTGGTTATTTGGCCTTTGGCTCAGTTACCAACGTAGCTTTGTAGCTACCTTTACCTGCCTTCTGTGCCTCAAGGCCATGCCAGGCCTTTAAGACGCCTGGGCCACCCAAATGTGTTTGACACACAAGGGAAGTAGGCAGGAAGCAGAATCTCTACAGTGACAGCCTGCTGACACAGAGCGTTAAAAGCATCGGATTTAGACGTCTTTGGCTCTTTGGATTGTGTGCCTCACCTGACCAAAAGAGAGGATGTGGTAGCAATCTTAGGGCTGCAGAATTCCCATCCCCACGACCCAAGATTCCACATGTGCAGGTGCTGAGAGTGTATCCTGATAGGCCCGACATCAACACGTTGTTGCTAACGAGCTGATGTCGAGAGGAACATGATAATGTGTTGATGTGAGCAGCATATCATCAGCTATTATTAAGCAATCACGGAGTAGCATCAATAACAATTAGCATAATTTTCATGACTGCGGTACTTATTGGGTTCATTTTAAAACACTGACAAATCAAATATGCTTATTTCCCTCTCACAAATGGGTCATATACAGTCTGTTACAGAGTGGATTAAGGATATCAAACACAAATTAGCATTGGCTCTAAATAATAAATGACCTCAGATTAAGTATGCTTGGAGGTAAACCCCTCTGAAGTACTCCTTAAGAGCAGTTAGTTTAGACCTGTTTGTTTCCCACCTCTTTCATTGAAGCAATGTCTGAGTTGTGAGCGGTTTAACAGACGTTAATATTTTTTAGCAGCCAGATTCAACACTGAAAGCTATTTTAAAAGAGTTCCTTTAAAAGTCCAACGAGTAAACATAATTTTGTATCTAACAAGTTGAGTTTCTGTTGTTGGTTCTTTCGTATTTTCCACCTCAGGAATGATATCACAACCCTTTAAATTTAGCTCATAACCACTCAAAGGGCTCCCAACCCCCCCTTAGGAAACCACTGCTTCGGAAAGTACAAAGCTTGCTATCTAGTTTTTATTCTTGCTTTTTAAACTGTCCCATACTAGTTGGATCTAGGCTTTATAATGGCTCCATTCAAGCATTCTTGACAAGATGGCTCGGAAAGAAAGAAAAAGCTGAGTGCTCTCTCCATCTCTATGTATTCTCTCTCTTCCACTGTCTCTCTCTTATCTGCTGCTTGTATTTTTTTGCAGAGTGGTCCTGTTGAAACGCAGAGTTGTGTCTAAATCCAGTTCCCAGCTACTTAGCCCCCACCAAACCCACTCACTCTGACACAAGGGCCGGCGAGAGCATCTCTCCCTCTCTCTCTCTCTCTCTCTCAGACCCCAGCTTGAACCCATGTATCACACAGCAAGCCATCACAATACAGTAGAATGGGCACATGGACAGTTATTGTTTGTTTGCACTATTTATGTCAATGTAGAGTCTGCGGCAAATGGCTCCGTAATGCAATCATTCATCCTAGCCATCCTGCGCTCCCGTCCATTAGGCTAATGATATTCTGTAACCGTCCCAGGTTCCCTGGATGTTGAAATCATGAATGTGAGAAGTAGGAGAAAGTAGGAGGACTGCTGCTTAATTGGAGGATGATGATCTAATTTGAGTGTCTGGAAACATATGCCCTGTAGTGCCCTCGAGCAACATACCGAATTCCCGGCAGCTCCAAAGTGGATGCTGTATAGCTGTTCGAGTGATCCAGCCAACATATGGAGTCTAGAAAGGAGACACATGAGATCAATATAGTATCAGAAGAAGTGATGTTGAAGCTCCTTATCCTTATTTTAAAAGTTCAGGTACATTTTCAGTGACATGAATTCTACATTTTAAGACCTAAGTGTCTCTCAAATCAGTCCATCTAAAAAGTAATGACGAGCTCTGCAGCGACATAAGCGATACTGACAGGCGTTTAAGTCTATTGCTAACATGCTCATCAAAGCTAAACTGAGACACTTACATTTCTCAGGCACTTAAAATATTCACCATCTACGTTTAGAGAGTTAGTAATGCAACATTAAAGTTAAAGCTAAAGCCTAACATACTCATAACGATTGTCATGCTGTTGTTGTATTAGTTTAGCACATTTAAGCTTAATGCTGACATTCT